CCTCAGAGTGCTGTACCCCTTCTGTCAGATCTTTGTTTGTACCTCCTTAAAACACAGCTGATCTGACTGCTGTCCTTTGAAAAGCCTCCTGACAAAGTTAGCCCTTAGCTGGTGTCTGAGAACCTGGATTGGAGAAGGGTTCCCAACACCCTAACTAGTAAGAATGGCTCTCTGAGATCACAGAATGCACAAAATGAAGAATGATGTAAAAAAAAAAAATGGCTTAGTATACCTAAACTGCTGTACCAACAGTGGTTTGTGGTGAACACCTGTTTTCCTTCTGGGGTCTGGAATTTTGAGTGAGACAGAAAGTGATGATATGATGAGTCCCTAAAAAAACTCTTGGTCTCCTATGGACTTTACCCCATATAATTTTGTCTTCTGCTGATTTTACTTTGCATTTCTTTTACTGTAAAAAATCAAAGCTATTACTATGAATATTTACAGAGTTCTAAATCCTTTAGTCAATCACTAAACTGGGAACTGTCTTAGGGACACTTAACAGATCAGACAATATATACAATCCATGGAGGGAATACTTCAACTGAGTAATTTTTGGTTAAGTCTTTCTTAAAGACTTAAGAGATAAAAGTCCTGGATACACCTGTCATTACAGAGTGTGATTGTGAGACCCAAAGTACTAAAACAAGGGTAGTAGTATGTGGAAAACCAGTAATAATATGATGTAGACTTCTCAAATGACACCTTCTAGGGAAGGTTACATTCGAGTATATTCAAAAGAGGTAACTAGAAGATGCCACACATGGCAGAAAGGCATATATACATTTAGGGCAAGATGCTCCAGGCCCTATCCAAGAAAAGGGTGATAGAGACCCAAGGACTGGGCTTTTTTCAATCACAGTGACAAAGTAGTTTAAAATTAGGAGGTATGTTGAAAAAAAAAAAAAGAGCAACTCATATTAGTGCAAAGAAAATTTCTTTTAAAATAATGTTCTTGAGGGCCCTCCCTGGTGGCCAGTGGGTTAGAGCACAGCACTAAGAAGCTTAAGCCACTTCTGCCTGAGTTCAATTCCCGCCTGCCCTGGAGGCGATCCACATAGCCAGGCAAACCGCTCCTGACACGCCCGCTGCTCCCCTCAGCTGTGTGCTTCTTGGATCTGCCTGTTCTGCTCCCTGCTCTGTCTCTGGTGAATTCTGTCTGTGATGAATCCTCTCACTCTCTGCATCTCTGGCCTGTACCCCAGTTCTATATGACTAAATAAAATCATCTTTAAAAAAAAAATGTTCTTGGGCCCTCCCTGGTGGCACAGCGGGCTAAATAAAGCACAGCACTAAGAAGCAAGCCACTTTAGCATGAGTTCGATCCCTGCTTGTCTTGGAGGTGATCCACATGGCGTGGCAGACCTCTCCTGACCCGCCTGCTGCTCCCCTCAGCAGTGTACTTTGTTGATCTGCCTGTTCTGCTCCCCACTCTGTCTCTGTTGAATCCTCTCACCACCCCTGCACTGCTTGCCTGTACCCCAGTTCTGTATGCATAAAATAAATAAATGTAAAAAAAAATAATGTTCTTGATAAATCTGCAGTCAGGAATTATTTTATGGACAAAAGTTCACAAATAGACTGGGAAGGAATAGAGGAGTTATTGAGAAATACTTTCATTTCTTCTACCCTAGGAAATGCAAATTATTTGTGTATTTCTGTGGATAAGTGAATTAAATTTAGCACCAAATATTTTTAATGTGTCAAATATTAAAAATAATACTAAACTAAGTACTATTAGACCTGGTTTGTGTTGTTGCCTTACAGGAAACTTGTGTTCAATTTCCCATTTAGAAGCAGTTCCTGATTTTTTTGAATTAGTATAAAATTTGGAATCAGATGTCTAATTTCCAGTTCCACTTCTAGGTACTAGTTAGGAGATCATGGACAAATTAATAATCTCTTGATAAACTCAGATCTCATCTTAAACTACAAATTGTTGCTTTATAATATTGCTGAAAGAACTAAGTTAATTCTTGTAAAGAACTTATAGTACATGGCATGCAGCATATATTTAGGAAATGGCAGGTTATTATGGTTTTGCTACTAGTCAAGATTTCTATGCTCTTAGTGAATTCATAAATACTTAAAAACTATAGTGGTATGTTCTAAAAACTTATAAATTAGATAAAATAAAACATCTAAAACTTTGTCCATTAAATGAACAAAAATGTATTACTTGAAGGATAGCTAGCTCACAAAATTTCATTGTAAACAGCTTTTGAGTTATTATATCTTAAGAATGTGTTGATCAAAAAAATGGGAGAAAAGCTTTTATTTTCTATGAACCAGCTTTTTAAAAAATTCAGAGGGCCTGATTAAGTGTTGCCAACTGTTTTTTTTAAGCTATTAAGATTGTTTCTGCTTGTTTCCTTTAATCTTCATACTAACAAAAATATTCAATCATAAGGCTTTCAGTGAAAACTATAGGTGAGCAAAGAACAAAGATTCAGTAGAATACTTTGCAGAATGAGTACTTTAATAAATGCTATATATATTTACGTTTTTTTTTTCCAAACACCACTCCTTATCTCCCCTATTCCTTTCCCTCTCCCAGCTTCTTAATCTCAGATGAAGGGGCATATGTGTAAAGGGGGTACCTACTACCACACATTGGCGGGAATATATATCTTGGCTTTCTAGCTGGCTTTCTCTAATACCACACAGGCAGGACAAAGATAAAGGACGTTGGGTGTCTCATTATATCCTGGAGAATGTCTGGGCTCCTCATAGGGCCTCTGCTGGCCTGGGTAGGCATGGGATCATAATTTTTGATCTGTGTTTGCTTACAGTAAGGTAGTTATTTTCTACAAGTTATATGTCTTGCAAGATTGCTCCTTTTTTATCCTTTGTCTAGAGAGAGAACAACCTTTTATTTAGGCATATTTTGTCCATGCCCTGTAGCATTTAAAGTTTTTTGTCTTTCAGTTTCTCTAGTACCCGTATGGGAATATAAAACTGAACAAAACAAAACAAGAACCTACTCCAGTGTTTCTCTTTGGGTTCTGAGGTTCAAAGCTGGTATTCTTATTTTCTCCACCTTTCTGTGTTTATGTTTATTTTACAGAGGAGATATTCAACTACATGAGGTAAGAATTAGGAGAAATTGTGATTTATTCCCTGGTTCTGGTTGAGCAAAAAAGAACCAAGCTATCAAAATCTCAATGCCACTCTGTTTTCAAAGTCATCACATTCGTTTCTTTTTAAAAATAACTTTAAAAGATTTTGTGTCCAGTTTTAGTTCTTGCTCTTCATACTAGGTCCTTTTCACTTTCTTTCTCTTCTAATCTTAGGAGTACTTAAGAATTCACAAGAGGCAGCATTTTGTTAAGAAATAACTCACTTTTGAGAAAGGGACCCTATAAACAACTTAGAAAACAAAAACAGTAGCTCACAATAAAAATGACAAAAGCAATCTAATTGGATATAAAATCTCAAAAGGACTGGGATATAAACTAGGAGCTGGGGAGATCAAGTGATATGTTGTTCTGTGTTGTAAATATCTCTAGGTAGGTTAACATAGTTGAAAGGCAGACACATTTCAGTAGTTAATTATAGAAACCTGTAGGACTACATTTATTGGTTGCAGGAGTTTTATTCCAGCTAAAACCTAAAAAACCAGAAAGGATCACATAAGGAAATGCTCCAGGCACAAGTAAGTAGATTTGGGTATAGAATCAAACCTAGAAGATTCAATAGTTGACATGATTTTCCCTTTCCTCCCTCCTTTCTTGTTTTGATGGGTGTGAACTAAAGAGCTGAGGAAGAGAGCCAACCAGAGAGGGGAATTATTTTTTTACCAGTCACAAATGGGAACTGTGCACTCTGTTCCAGTTCCTGGAAATATTGCTAGGATGCCCAGAGCCCTGAGAAAGCCTGCTTGGAAATGATCCAATTGCTTTTCTTTCTTTTAGGCACTTCCAACTCCACGGGCGAATGGGCAGAGGAAAATAATGTCAAAGTCAAATATGTGATTCTGCAATTTAGATTAAAAGGGTGGATGAGCACAACTCATAGAAGCGCAAAGAAAGAATTTTGAGGGTGGTGGACACCGTGGGGTTTCTATTATTAGCCAACCCTCATGCTCCTTGCTCTTGTACTACTTTTCTGCAAAGATTGCAGGTGTCGGATAGGCACGCCCTTGTCTCCCAGCCCTTCAATGGGACAGTGGGGTGAGAAGCCTTAGGGTCCAGAGATTGAAATATGCACACCGAACACTGACAGAAGCGAATCTCAGTTTCTTTCTTTCTTCCTTCTACCCCCGCACTACTATGGATTTTCGTTTACTTTATGCTTGTGAAGGGATGTAGAATTACAAAAATAACAGTGCACGTTCCAAGAAATTCTACCCTTCAAAGAGAACAATGTTATCAACTTGTCTTCCTAGTATTTTTCAGTTTATGCAGAAACTGTTGGGTTAAATAAAATTAAATAAATTTAATGGTAGGTAGACTTGCGTGATTGTTTCTCAATAAACACTAAAAGTAAATTAGAAGACCCACAGATTATTGAAGTTTAAAATGGGTCTCGATATTTGGAAGGAATGGGAATTTCTGCTCTTGCCTAAAAACTGCGGACAGCTGCTGTAAATCAAAGTTTTGTCCTTGCTTGCACTGAAAGGAGGAAACATACCCAGTTACAACCTTCCGAAGGGGTGGTTCTGGGTCAGGTGCTCTAGGAGGCGGTAGCGAGAGACTGGCACCGCCTCCACACACCCCCTACGTTTTGGTAAACAAGGACACTCCCGCTCGCTCCTACTCACCGAGGGAGGGGCTTGAGGGTGGCAGGAGCGCCTTATGTAGATATTTGAAAAGGCCGTCTATTGGTGGTTCACGAAGGCCGGGCGATTTGGGAATTTTGATTGGTCCGCTTACCAGTCTGCAAGAGGATGGACGGTCCCTATCCCATCAGGCCGCGCCTTTCTGCGCGGCGCTCCGCCCCTCGCGGGTGGACGCCTGCTCAGAGCCGCAGAGCGCGTGCGCGCCGGCCCCACGCCGCGGTCGAGCCCGCCCGCCCCACGGCTCACACTCGCAGTCAGTGGGCGAGCCGAGAGCGGCAGAGGTCAACGCGGGGAGGCGGGGCCGGGGCAGCATGGCAGCCTCCTTATGGCTCAGAGGAGCCTCCTCTGGTCTCCGGTACTGGAGCCGCGGGCAGCGGCTGGCAGCGGCCAGCCTTGCAGTGGGTAAGGACCTTGCGCCTTCTCCCCGCGTCCCTCCTCCGGCCGCCGGTATTTCGCGCCTGACGTGCCGAAGAGGTCTTTTCCCGGGAGGCGCTGCGGTTGGGTCGGGACAAAACCCCAAATATTTTGGCTGGATGTAAGGCCTGGTCACATCTGTGGCTACCGCTTCAGCCACTGCTGCCTCTCTCCCCTATCCAGGATCCAGATAAAAGGGGTTCAGTGTCCTTTTCGGGATTTAAGAGGGGACCGGGAAAGCTTGAATTTAGGGAAGAGAATTTGGGTCCCAGTGCTTTTGGAGTTAGGGCTCCCAGACAGTCGTGGAGGGCCCAACCCACGGTGCAGTCCAGCACCATCCCTGGCTACCCTGCCTTGCAGCGCTGGCTTAATTTTTCGACGACTCCTGGTCGCACCTGGGCCACTTGAATTAGATAAGGTGGCCTTACACAAGTGGTGTCTTTACAGAGGAGGTGATAAGTCATTCCAGTAAAGTTTCAAATCACCCTGCACCTGGAGGGAGTGCTTTCCCACCCGTTTTTCCCTTCTCAGTAAATATGTTACCTGAAGATGGCTCTTTTGTCAAATTATTAACCAAAACACTTTAAGCGTCCCCCAAATTGTTGCCTGAACTGATCTACTCTCCTCCTCCCTCACCCATTATAAGTTGGTCATCGACTTGGAAAGAGGCAGTTTTTACACCCCCAGAAGTCTAATAATCTGATTTTTTCGGATGAAGAACCAGAACCTCCTTGAATAAGTAAATTAGGTTATGCTAGCAAGATCTAGAAAGTAGTACTTGATTCTTCCTGATTCCTGAGCTTTTCACCACACCAACATTCCTCTCTAATTAAAAAACAAAACAAAACTGGTTGATTCCTGGAGATAATGCCGATGTCTTCCTGCAAAACTTTTGAGAATTACAACATCAATGTTTAGCAAGGTCATCCTCAGGTTTTTTTTTTTTAAAGAAAAGTGGTCCTGACCTTAGTTTAAAAAACAATAGAATGAATATAAACAACGATGTAAACCAATGTTACCTCAAATTAAAAGAAAAAAAAAAGTGGACTGAATTCTTTAATCAGTTCCCTTCCTCCCCTTCAGTAAAACTTAAGAGTGGGTTTTCTCTCTGGCCTGAGAAAGGCAGGCTCCATGTGATGCAAGAGAACAGATGTCTGATACAAGAATCACAGTAACAAGATACAAACTCACAGAATGTGCCAAGCTTGAGAGTAACCACTATTTGAGTTACAATGACTGAGCTACAAAAAAATGCCTCCCACTTTGGAGATACAGGATTATTCACTTTCCTTCAGTTTCACATGTAATGCACAATTCTTTATAATTTTGATAAGCCAAAAAAGACGTATGTGCTATTAGTGGTTTTCCAAGGTGTTTTAACGAATCTTAATGAATCCTTGGTGTATCTTTTAGAGTTGTGAAGTTCTCACTATTTGCGGTAGAAAGACACTGAGACCCAAGATTAGTGTTTTGCTTCTGTAAACCTGAAGGGTCTAATTGTAATGTAGGTTATAATCTTGCTGTTTGAACCCCTTGACCAAAGATGCTATAAGGATATAGATTTTTGATAAGTAGTTCTTTTGTGATGATTGTTTAAAACAAACACTTCAATTGTTTATACTCTGGAATTGTTTTAAAACATAATCTTTGTGAACTGCAAAAATGTTAACTTTGAGATTGGAGTTTTAAAAAGTGAGAAAAAATCTACATGCAAGTTTGGAGTCTAGGGACATTAAGAAAAAGACTTTAAAATTAACTTAGTGTGAATTCTCTGATATTTGCCTTCATATTATAGATAAGATGTTTTATCATAGGGATGGTAATATGAGGAACCTTATAACTCTTTTGCTGTTTTGAAAAAAATGAGGTCTAAAACTTCCCTATTGATACATCTTAATTTCAAAATATTTAAAGTGTCAAAATTAGAAAAATAGAAATATTGAACTATACATATTTTACCATTTTGTTATCATTGAGTAGAAATTTCATTTTTTATCTTAAAAAGTTAATTAAAAAATCATTACCCTTTTTGTGTGAATAAAATCAATTTCAAAGCAACACATAGGAAAAATAAAATATATAATACCATTTTTTCCTCTTTACCTGAGTTTCTGGATTGCACATGAAGCTCTGAAAACCTAGAACCAAAGGTTAAGCTTTGAAATTACTTTGGGAGGATATTTATTTCTAAAATAACTTGACCTAAACAATAATGGCCTTTATAGTATAAGTTGTCATGTTTAGTTAAGTCTTAAGCACTATAACAGTTGGAATGCTGTGGTATGTTATTATCAAGTAGGCCATAGAGTTCTATAAACAGTATAATCTCATGATATAAAAAAAATGCATTTAGAAGACTGGTAGGGTTATATAAATGCTGATTGCTAATTTTTTTCCCTTATGATTTTATATTGTTTCCTACTTTCCAATTTTCTACAATGAACATGGTTTGCTTTGATTAACAACAACAACAACAACAACAAAAAATCCTTTGTCCATGTAAATATAACCTATTGCTAATTTTTGCTTATAAAAAAATTAGAGTAGTTCAATTTTTGGTAGCATTTACTGCTACCAAAATATGGATAACTTTGCTTAGGTCTCATTGGAGAAAATAAAGTTGCCAGATCTTTTCGCTATTTTCTTCACTACTCACTATCACCTTTGTGATTTAGTGCTCTGTGTGACTCAAAGGGAAGATGTATTATTTAAGTTTGAAAATTTTTAGGGTAATATCTCATTGTACTCTTGAATTTTTCCCTCTTTGGGAGCAAATTCTTATATTTTATTCTAAGCATTCCTAATATTTCAAACTTAATTAAAATTTGTATTTCCTCATATAAAAGGTCTTCCCTAAAGTATTCTACCTTTTTCTAACTTTGACTCTTCAAACCAGGAATGCAAAAAAATGGCATTTGGTGTAGGATTTATACCCCTGAGCAGACAGTATCTGGTGAGGGTCCACCACGTTGTTCAAAGGTGACTGTCTTTTTTTTTTTTTTAATAAACTAAGTTATTTTTATATTATTTTGTGCCTTCTTCCATCTCACTTGTAATCCCCATGAGCTTCCCACCACCATTTCACCCATGTGCCGTCACCATAGTCCAGTGCACTCCCCCCACCCCCATTTTTTATCCCATTCCCTACTCCACCCTTGTAAAATGTCTTTGGTATATAGTTGTTCATCATTATTATTATTTTCTCCCTAGTCTTTCATACTCCTGCTATGAGTGAAACCATCCAGTAGTTTTCATTTTCTTTCTGGCTTATTTCACTAAGCATGATCCCTTCCAGCTCTATCCATGTTGCTGCAAAAGGCATGTTTATCTTTTTTGATTGCCAAGTAATATTCCATTGTTTATATGTACCACATCTTTTTAAGGCAGTCATCTATTTTTGGGCATTTGCATGTCTTTCCAATTGTAAATAAAGCAGCAATAAACATGGGGGTGCAGGTGTCTTTTTGAATCAGTGCTTTTGTGTCTTTAGGGTAGATACCTCTGAATATGATTGCTGGGTCCTATGGAAGCACCATTTTTAGCAGTTTGAGAAAACTAACAGTTTTCCATATTGGTTATACTAGTTTGCATTCCTACCAGCAGTGCACGAGATTTCCAAAGATGACTGTCTTTTTCACTGTGTCCATCTTTTTGCTGTGTCTTCTTCACAGGGGATTTCTCTGGGGCCTTTTTTGTAAAGGCATTAATGCCATTATGTTTTGCCCTCTAGACCTAATCACTTCCTACAGTCCTCACTTCCGAATACTTTCATACTGGGTATTATGTTTAAACAATGGAATTTGGGGTGGGGGTTGTCACAAGTGTTCAGTACCTTTTTGTTTACAAAATAATCAAATTGGTTAGCTTGCAACCCAGCCTATCCCATAGTTAATGCATTGCTTCTTTGCATCTTTTTGCAGTTTTATTAGGAATGAAAGTTTTTGCTAGGGATAAAGGGTATTGTCAAACAATGGTTAAAAATGAAGAGCCTAGAGTCAGATTACTGAATTTGAATCTTAGCAATACAACTTACTAAAGTCTTGGCATTTTACTTAAACTCAGAGTATCAGGAATCTCAGTCAAAAAACGGGCTTGATGATAGATATCATTAATGATGACTAACCTGATTATTAAGAGCTTAGTAGTATAGTGTCTTGCATGTAGTAAAATGGTCACAAAAATTAGCTATTATTCTCTATCCTCATTCTCTCTCTCTTTTTTTTTTTAGTTTTTTTCTGTTTTCTTGAATACTTATGTTTCTTTTTTATATGGTATTCCGTTTCTACTTTCCATTTGAGATATGTCTTAGAATATTCAGGACAAATGTCAGCTTCAAGTCCCTAAACCAGATGAATTCTTTCATATGAACATTCTTTTTTATACTTTATCCTTAACTTTCTTGTATGAGTGTACATAGTTTATTTCCTTTGAAATCTGAAATTGTTGAAAATAAGTGCTAGGTCTCATTTGTATCCTCTGTGGCATTTGGCAAGGTGCTGTGATGTGGCACTCTATGATATATAATTATGTGATAGTTGATTCATTTTTATTGAATGTGTGAATGAATTGTACTCTGCCTTACTATACTTTTAAGTGTTTAACCTTGAGAGTGGTGTCCATAAAATTAGCAGTCTTCTTAGTTTCTAATGGTTTTTATTAAATTAAACAATTTTTAAGCTTTCATCTACCACCTAGGTAGCACACTAGTTGCACACTTAGTTTCAGAAGATAATACAAGGAATACTGGTCTTTTGACAAAAATCTTGTGAACATTTTGATACTATATTAAAACTTTCTTTTTAAAGTTCTGCTTTAACACCAGTTGTTTAGTTTTATTATTCTGTTAGAGTTATCTTACAAAGTAGACTTATAATACTGTTTAATATCAAAATTTTTATCAGGTTATCATTTCTCTGTGATGGACCCCTTGTGACTCAGTCAGACACAAGGTTCCTATTATACCCAGTAGGTGAAACTTTGCACTGATCAGGTGATTTTGCACAAGAGTGACACACATATTTAATGGAAATGTTGGAAACAATCATCTAGTTAAAAGGAACAGAAGAAGGCCTCTATTTCTTAGTATTAGAATCTCCAAATAATTTGCTTTAACTAAATTTCAGTGTTTTTTTTAAGCTCAAGGAAGAGCAGGTATCCATCAGTTGAGAAGAGACCAGAAACTAAGGATGACTAGTTGTGCACTACAAAGATTTCCAACTAGAGTTCTTAAAATGGAAAAAACTAAGCTAGAAAATGATAAGATGAAACAGCTAATGGAATTATTTCCCTTTTTTCACTAGACCATGAGCTTTTTGAGGGCAAGGATCATTATCTTGCTGTGTCTCTCTCTGAACTCTGTTATATTATAGTATCTCATGTAGTAAATATTTGTTAAGTGGAGCCCCAGATGTAGTCATGGAGAAATTGTGTGTAATGCAATTTTCATGGTAATGCAAAGTCTCTTCTCTCTTGCAAAAAGCATTACCTTGAATTGTGTGTCCCAGTGTGATTGCAGAAAGCCTTTTGTGAGAAAGAAGAAAATCAAACAAAACCTGTACTTAGCTTTTTAAGAACAATTTTTCCCCCTGCAAATGGAAATGCCGTTTCTCTGAAAGTGCACCAAGTTTTAAAGCCAAAACAGTCCCTAGACTGTTGTCTGTGCCACTTAGAGTCCATGGAAGTATCCACTTCTCCTAGGACCACAATTACAAACTGGTGGCTTTTGACTACTGGTCAACCCCCCCTAGGTTTAACATTTTATTAAGGTTTTGTTTTGGTTTTAATATCATTGGAGGGGATGGTTTCTGTAAATGTAAAGGAAGGTAAAAAGTTTCCCTGTTCCTGGACCTTGTCCAAAAAATAAGGTTTAGTGAATGCTTTCAATTTTTTTAAATAATAGTTTATTTTTACATCATTTTGTACATTTTTTTTCATCTCAACTATAATCCCCGTGGGTTTCCCATCACTGAGTCACCCGTGTGCCATCACCATAGACCCATGCACTTCCCTCCCCCGTTTTTGATCCCATTCCCCACTCCGCCCCACAAAATGGCTTTCAATTTCTTATGTGCATTTTTTAAAGGATTTATTTATGCATACGAGAATGGGGGTACGGGCGAGATATGCAGGAGGTGAGAGGATTCACGAGAACAGAGTGGAGAGCAGAATAGGCAGATCAACTTAAACACACTGCTGAGGGGAGCACCAGGCGAGACACTAGAGGTCTTCTGTTGAGCCATGTGGGGCAGCTCCCTGGCCAGGGATTGAACTTATGCTTCATTATCTGCTGATAGCTTCATAGTGCTGTGCTGTCACCCCTTTCACCACCAGGGAGGACTTTCTTAACACCATTTAAAAGGAGATACTGTAGATAAGAGGAATCTAGAATACATCACAAAATAGGTAAAGTATCTAACAGGTATTATATAAGTGATAGCTTGATTAAGTTTATTGGAAAGCAGTAGAGGAATGTTATAGGTAGAAAATGAGAAATACCTTGAAATTTTATTGTTTACTAGAGAACTATATATTTGATTGTTTAGTGTGGTTGTTACCCTAAGTATGACTAGATCACTAGTTTAACACTAGCTTTTTTTTTTCTATTTATTACAAAGTTTATTTTTACATCATTTTGCATATTTTTTTTTCCATCTCGATTGTAATCCCCGTGGGTTTCCCATCACCAAATCACCCTTGTGCCACCACCATAGTCCTGTGCATTTCCCTCCCTTCCCCCCCCCCCTTTTTGATCCCATTCCCCACTCCACCCCCACAGAATGTCTCTGGTATATGGTTGTTCATTATTTTTGTTATTTTCTCGCCTGGTTCATTATACTCCTGCTATGAGTGAAACCATCCGGTATTTTTCTTTCTCTTTCTGGCTTATCTCACTAAGCATGATCTTTTCCAGCTCCATCCAAGTTGCTGCAAAAGACATGTGTTTCTCTTTTTTGGTTGCTAATATTCCATTGTATATATGTACCACATCTTTTTTATCCAGTCATCTACTTAGGGACATTTGGGCTGCTTCCATGTTTTTCCAATTGTAAATAAAGCAGCAATAAACGTGGGGGTACAAGTATCTTTTTCAATCAGTGTTTTTGTGTCTTTTGGGTAGATACCTAGGAGTGGGATTGCTGGGTCGTAGGGAAGCCCCATGTTTAGCAGTTTGAGGAACCTCCAAACAGTTTTCCATAGTGGTTGTACTAGTTTGCATTCCCACCAGCAATGTAGGAGAGTTCCTTTTTCTCCACATCCTCGCCAACATTTGTTGTTGCTAGTTTTAACACTAGCCTTTTAAAAATAGAAAACATCTAAACAGTTGACAGAAAAATTGAATGAATCTTTACAATAAAAAAATGTTATCTGACTTTACGAAAAGTAATGTATTGAAATCAGTGTGTTCTAGGTCAATGGCTTCTAAGACTCCAGTTGGATTTATTGGACTAGGCAACATGGGGAATCCAATGGCCAAAAATCTCATGAAACATGGCTATCCACTCATTATTTATGATGTGTTCCCTGATGCATGCAAAGAGTTTCAAGATGCAGGTGAACAGGTAAGGCCTCTTTATTATTTTAGATATTGATGTTTAAAATTATATTCAGTAAGTGAGAACTTCTGAGATATATATACCATGAAAATGGAGTTGTAATCCTAATTCATTGTTAGTATTTATCTAGTTTATATATAATATACATATTTAAAAATATGTGTAAACATTCATCATCCTCTTGGTGTGCAACATAGGAGAATGTCCATCAGAGTAAGGAGGAATTTTGTTCTTTGTCAGGTGACTTGGAGCATTTCCCAGCTTTGGTCAGAGATGCCTACTTTGGCCCTGTTTCAGTTTTTCTAGATATTAACTTTACTGTTTGTGGAAATAGCCTCCCATGTTATTGAAAAGCAAAATTTGGCATTGAACAAGAATAGATTTGGACATAGAAAACAGCTTGAATCTCAACCCAAATACTTAACTGCTTTCTTATTATGGGCATATTACTTCACCTTACCTTGTTTTCCTCATATGTGAAATTGAAATGATTGGACATCACTAGATGGTGATGTACAAATGAGACAACATATGTGAATATAATTTATAAGTACTGTATTGGCAACACTTTGTGAATATATAATATTGGCTACAAACCTGTAGAAAACCTAAAAACACTGCTATAATGAGGTACAGAGTTAAGTTATGATGGCTTGCTAGCATTCTGTGTTTAGTTTCTTCTTTTTTTTTTTAAGATTTATTTATTTTTGCATACAGAACTGGGGTACAGGCCAGACGTGCAGGGGCGGTGAGAGACTTTACCAGAGACAGAGTGGGGAGCAGAACAGGCAGATCAATGAAGTACACTGCTGAGGGGAGCAGCAGGCTGGTCAGGAGAGGTCTGCCATGCCATGTGGTCACCTCTGGGGCAGGCGGGGATTGAATTCATGGGGAAGTGGCTTTAGCTTCTTAGTGCTGTGCTTTAACCCGCTGCGCCACCAGGGAGGGTCTCATTTGTTTTTAAGAAAATATGCATTACATTGGGTAAGAGGGCAGTTAGGAAAGTTCTCTTCAAAGAGTAGACATTTAAGCAAATAACAGAAGCATAAATAGGATTTACTCAGATGATGAATGGGGATGAAGGGGCACTTTCTTCAACAAAAACCAGAAACCTCATTCTCCAGGTTTCAGTCTTCAGTTTCTAGAGATTTCTACTACCTTTACTCAATAGATACAGTAATATTTCCATGTATCTAGTAGTCCACCTAGTGGTGTGGAGAATGAAGTAGGTTGAGTTGGGTATGGCAAGGTATCAAACGTATCCTAAATGGCAAGACTAGTATTACAAGGAAGTTCCTAACTAAATGGCAATTTGACTATAATAAAGCGCTGAGTCAGTTTTTGAGGAGAAAAGACTACAATTGTTGAATCATTTCATTTTTGATAGGCAACCACACAAAAACTGTGTCATCTTTGCTGATACACAAACAGAAATGCTATAGTTGGAAATGAAAGCCCTGTAGACAAGATCTCTAGGGTTCCTGATAGAAATGACACACCCTCAAGTACTGAATTTTCCTCTATACTTTTACTGTGCAATGTCAGTGTGAGGAAGGAAAGAAATCTAGGTTGTTACCCTTCCCAGATCAGTTTAGAGTGAAGACTGGCCTTAGGTTCCTATCTGCAGTTCCCACCTCTGATGACCTCCTCCTTCCATGGTGAGAAGAGTTCAGTGGGTGCTTCACACTAAGGCAGCAACGCTGGGAGACAATCTTCCATCACTTTCACATATCTGGTTCCCTCTAGAATTTTGACTCTAAGCAGACCTCCTGGTATTGATTGTAACTGCCAAGGAGGATGGGAGAATGTGAAATTTAAATGAGGAGGGAAGGAGAAAGGGTCAGAAAGTTTTGGGTCTGTCATCATAAAGTGAAAACATTTGCTGATAAATGGTTTATGTTGGCAGTTTCAAAGTTTTGAATAGTTACACTGCTGCTTGAGCAAGTGTGATTTCCTAAGAGTTCTAGTTTAAAATATAATATTAACTTGCATAAGTTCTGATATGTAAAAATGTTGGTATATTCATAGTTATGTTTAACTTTTTAAAATGTTGGATAGAAGAAAAAAATTTAGTTTTTCACTACTAAAAAAGGCAAAAACTACTAATAAAGTATTTTTACTACTTGGGAAGAAATGGGAAAATGTTGGTGACTTTTTGCTGTTGTATACAATTGTACAGTGAAGTGACTAACTGAAGAGTATTTGAGTTGACTTTGACATTTTAAGAGCAGGTATCTCCTTCTTCCCCTGATGTTACTATATGAGGTGAAGCTAATGAATTTGCTGCTAAAGAAAACAAATTATTTGCCCCAAAGATTGCAAAAGACTGACTAGTTGATTTCTAATATCAACTGTGGTTTCCCTGGGAGATTTGTAGGGACAGACAGTACCAAAATAGACATATCTGGGTCAAAAAGCAATCAAGTGTCCAAGGGGACATCTTGAAGAATGCTCTTTCTTTTTTTCAGAGCAGAAATGGGATGTGTCACATGATTTGTCATATGTCTGGCTGCCAGCTCTGCTTTCTTGAAGGCAGACCCTCTCTCCCTTCTAGGTACAGGATAGTCGCCTGCTGTTCCAGGTGAACAGTGCCTTGGGATGTTCTGATCCTGGAGTATTTTCTTCAAGCTCTGACTAGTAGTGAAAATACTACATGGCTATGAAGGAAATAAAAATGCTGACATGTAAAGTATATTTTATATGAGTGATTGAATTTAATCAGCTTACTTGTGCCTTTAAATGTGTATCTGTTTTGATAAGAGTATTTATAACTGGTTAAATATGTTATTTGTTGTCATTTCCATTAAAAAGTTGGCATATTTCCTATTCAGTCTCCTCATATTATGCTCTAATTTCTGTTGGAAATTCAGGTTTAGGTTAGAGTACATAATTTCAGCTTTTATCATCTTTTCTAACAATGTAATCCATCATAATTACAGACCTTTGATTAGGAATCATGAATAAAGAACATGTAAATGTAATAGTTTAAAATCTTAAACCCTGGAATCATTGCCGGAGCTCAAATCTTAGTTCCATCTAGCTGTCTCTGTAACGTGTCTCTACATAAATTTCCTCATTGTACAAAATGGAGATAAGTAATAACACCTTCCTCTTAGTGCTAGAAAACCTGACACATAAAGAGTGTTATACACTACCTAATTGCTGTTACTACTGTTATCATGCTGATGATTGTGTCTGTGTCTTCTGTGTATCAAATCTGCATTGCCAATACCACACATAGGAACACACTGCTGTCTTGACTGAATCACTGAGTCTGCAGTGCTTTGGAAGAGTGTTGTAGACATATTTTAAATGTGGACATATTTCTAAATGAAAGCAAGATGGTAAAAATTAAAATCCAACTAGGAGATAAAGTGAATTGACCATATCCCTGCTTAAGAACATTTCTACCTATCCCTTACATCCAGTTTTTATTTTGCAGAAGATACTGATTTCTCCTTTTAAGCCTTAGCACCAAAGGCATGTGAGATATGCTTCATTTTCTTTGTTTAGGAATTTCCTTGAAGATGTTGCTGATCTGTGCCAAAAGTCTGGAGACTTTCCACCATATTTTTGTGAGTTTTCTGGTTGAACTGGGCTTAATTAGATCCTCTTTTCTTTTGTTTTTTTTCTTTAAAAACTTGGAAACCATCATGTTCCTGGATTGTAAGCCTGAACATGTTTGGTTAAGTAATTCTCTTGGGATCTAATCTGGCATCCACTCAGGTCTTGTTAAATGAGAACTTTAAAAGCCTCTTGCTGAGTGGCTCCGTCATTGTTGACCAAGTGTTTCAAGATGTAGGCACAAACTGTTTTTGACAGTTTTTCAAGTGTAATGTAATTTTGGAGTTATAGTATGTTTTTGTACTTGGAAAGATTAAACGACATCAAGTGGCAAGTTTAACAAGGTCATAGTCATAGTCATCTTTTTTATTTTTTTGCAAGTTTCTGTTACCCACTTGATTTGCATGGAAGCAATGTTGAACTTGACTTCTGTGACTGCTTTGTCTGCAAGAATGAACAAGATTTTTTTTTTTTTATCAACATAGAGCAACTAGGTAACAGTTGTTTCCTTCCATTGAAGATATAAAAAGGAGGTCCATTTTCTTCTGATGCTGGACCTGGTGCCACAGCATACTTCCCTCCTTGCAACCAGCAAAGAACACTGCCTTTAATTTGTTCAGTCCCCTACTCTTTGTGTTGCAAACTTGCCTTTGATGCAGGCTAGTATACAGATGAATCTAAATCCAGAGAAATTGGCTGAAAAAATTCTTAGACTGTAGATACTGTGATATATAAGGGAAGTAATTTCCTGTGATCAAAATTGAGATAATAAAAAAATACAGACCTCTTAATTTGTAATAGCATAGGAATGAAGCCATTGGAATATACAAGAGACCTTCAGGAATGGCCTGGGTTGTCAGAACAGTCATGGCTATTCATGTGACTATGCAGATGTGCAGTTGTAGAAGAGTCTTGCTACTCCTGTATCAATTAGAAATCATCTGTTCACATTTGCAGTGAGTCATTGCAAATGCTTTCTATCCTTTCAGCTCTTCACAGCTGCTACACTTCCTAGAACTTAAGGTTACTGAATAGGAAAAAATACTTTGCCTAAGTTTCCTTTCTACTTTGGATACGAAAATCTTAAGATGACCCAAATCACGATGCTTATATATTACAGATTCAGAAACCAACGCTAGAATGGTTAATGGATCTATACATATTCATACATTCTTTATTGGCTGAGAGGCAACTAAACCTGCATCTCTGGCTTCCCAAATGAGGATTCCTTTCACTATTCCATGCTGTCTTTGCTTATCCATTCAATTAGCAAATATAATTGAAGGGACTCTTCACTAGTTTGGCTCCTATAGGCTTTTGTGTATAGGCTTTTGTGGTTAGTGTCAGATTGGCAACTTGGTTTGGTTTTTCCCCCAGGTTTTTGAGTCATGGCCAAATTTTGTCATTCATTGCAGTCTAGAAGTCATCATATGGAAAACAGGATGCTTTGAATAGCTGGACACACATCTGTCTAATAAGCAACTCAGTCTGTTATTATAATGTACCAATTGTATATAGTCATTAAATGACGAGCATTTATGACCAGCACAGTGGTGACATTACAGTTATCACCATCATTTCATTGTGATTCCTGTCCCTCCCCCCTGCCCCCCCCCCCCGCACCTGTGACACTACTTTCTTATATAATTGCAGGGTTAATAGTGCTCTGGCAACCTAAACATCCTAAGAAGCAGATGCTAGGTATGCAGGAGGCTGATTCGCCTCCCTATGCACTTGGCAGTGACCTGATTTGGAGCTGCCAGTTTACGGGCATGAGAAGCTTAGAGGTGTGAAGTACTATTAAATCTGTGAGCTAATTGTTAATGCCCTGAGGGGACCTCTGTAGGAGTTATCTAGATGGAATTGCATTTTCTTTAATGGAAGACACTCAATTCCTAAGAGAAAATCTGAAATTGTCAGAACTCATAGCTTACTTTAGTCCCTGAAAGATGTAGAGATGGAGCTGGGTGAGAGGAAAGGCCACTGAAAGGTATGCTATCTCTTATTGTTTTTACTACTTTAAGTAGGGATGAACACATGGGTTTTAATGTGTAACCCACATTCTTGATATAGTCCAGGAGTAGAAAAATATGTCTTTTCCGACTGTTGTCTTGTCTTATGAACTGTTTTTCATTTTTTTTAGGATTTATTTATTTATGCAGACAAAGCTGGGGTACACACCAGAGACACAGGGGCAGTGAGAGGATTCACCAGAAACAGAGTGAGGAGCAGAACAGGCAGGTCAACAAAGTACACTGAGGATGGGAGCAGTGGGTGGGACAGGAGAGGTCTGCCACGCCATGTGATATGGATCACCTCTAGGCCGGGGACTGAACTCATGCTGAAGTGGCTTTAGCTTCTTAGTACTGTGCTTTAACTCGCTGGGAGTTAACAGGGAGGACCACCCTCATTTTTTTTTTTTAAAGATTTATTTACATATATATACAGAACTGGGGTATAGGCCAAAAGTGTGGGGGCAGAGAGAGTGTTCACCAGAATAGAGTGGGGAGCAGAACAGGCAGATTGACTGAAATACACTGCTGAGGAGAGCAGCGGGCAGGCCAGGAGAGGTCTGTCAAACTATGTGGGTCACCTCCCTGGCCAGGGATGGAGCTCATGCTGCAGTGGTTGCAATAGCTTCATAGTGCTGTGCTGTAACCCTTTGTGCCATACCATCACTGAGGGTGCAAGCTGTGTTTTTCTTGAGTAAATTTAAACTTCGTCAGGAAATAGGTGCTTCTTTTTGAATGTCAGTATTTTTTTGGGTGTAGGAAAGGTTTTTATTTAACTTTAGTAGTTGTAACAATGATTTTTTTTTTTGGGTCAGAGATGTTTTATATTATCTTTTCCTACTGTGTTATTACACAGTGCTAGTGTACTTGGTTGTCTGAAATTTTAAAGTATGACTTAATTTGAAAGTATGACTTATGTTAAAATGCCTTTATCTAGAATTTGATTTAGAAGCTGTTAGTCTCTTAAAGAAAATTAAAATGTAATCACTTGAAGTTTATAATGTTTGGATTACAAAATTTCAGCATCCCATTCCTTTACTTTCTTCAAAGGCAAAAAGGAATTGTTACCTGTACATCACCACATGAAAAGCAGAGTCATTATCTTTCCTAAAATGCTTTATGTCACTTTCATTTCCTAGTAAAATATATGTCAGTTTCATGTGAATCACTCTGTGGGGAAATTGTCTATTGTTTCCCTGATAGCCCTTTGTCTTTCATAAAGCAAAAAAAAGGCTTAAAGGAGCTTTTGTGACAATTGAGGCTTTTGGATGCTTCCTGTTAAAGGAGCTTTGAGTCAAGGAGTGAATTCCTGGGCTCTTCTGATCTCTGGTTGCCTACTGGTTGACCAGATGTATTAGGTCTCAAGAGGGAGCAGGAGGGTGAGTGCTACATCCATCCTTGCACACAGGCAGAGAATCGACTGGTTCCTTAATACTTCTGTAAGCTCATGGTCTTGCCCTGGTCTTTTCTGAAACAGGTTTAATTTTCTTTTTTCTTGAAAATAGAGATTGAAGGGTAGTGGTGATTGGGGCTTGACTTTGCTTAGGGGATTTTGTCCATCAACTCACTGGTGAATCCTCTATTTCGACTGTTGTCAGCCCTTTTGTACTAGGATGTTTTCTTAGTGAAAGCATCTTCCAAAAAATAGGCTGTTTAAGAACTCAAGTTGGAGGAGTCCATGAGAAGTATGTCTGTTCCCAGGACTGCTGTGTTTTACCCTTTCCCCCTCAACTCACTTCACACTTTTTAAAATAAACAGTAGATTTGATTCCATCGAAACTGCATTTGTATGTGTATAAGAAATGGGCTGTCTTTTATGCAGTAAATTTTTATTTTGTCATTTGGAAATGAAGGTTGGTTGTTTGTTTTTATTATTGCTGTTTCAACTTACATAAAAAAGTGAGTTTTTCTTGTGTTCTAGAAACTGCTTACTTTTTAAATAATGTGCCATTGCAAATTCTTCTTCTTTTTTAAAGGTAGTAGCTTCCCCAGCTGATGTAGCAGACAAAGCTGACAGAATTATTACAATGTTGCCCACCAGTATGAATGCAATAGAAGTTTATTCTGGAGCAAATGGAATTCTAAAGTATGTGTTTCTCAATTGTGCTTAATTTCTTGTTACAATAGTTTATGAATTTCACATTTGTTAGAACTATTAGGAAATTGCAGTTATGTTTGTTAAACTTTTCTCTACTGTCTTCTTAAACTGAATGGTGTGGTTTTTCTCTTTGTAAAGGGTTTTTTTTTTTTTTTTTACTGGAGTCAAGTATGTGACTTTGGGAATAAATTTTTTTCCTCTTTTTTCCTTTACTCCTACATTAAACTTATGCTTTCATTGGTAAAATGTTTAAGAGACTTTAAAAGCTCGAATTTTAAACTGAATGACTGTTAACAAGCGTAATTTTGTTATGGTTTATAGAAATTCAGTAAAAGGTTTCTATGAAAAATAAAACCAAACATTGGAAAGAACACCATTATTTAACATTTTATTACATAATAAAAAGTTATTGTATGTCCTCTGGGTTAGTACATCTGTAGTAAGAATTTTGAGAAGTTGGAATTAAAAGTTAGCAGTAGCTTTTTAAATAAAATATAATTTAGGGTAGAATTTCCTAACCTTTTGGTTAATTGCTGCTTATTGTCAAACCATGTAGTTATGTTAGCATGACAGTGGTGGAATTTCTAATTTTCATATTCTGGTCTTACTGGTTCATGTTCCTAACTCGTTTTGTTGTTAAATTTCAACAAAGAACTAGAACAAACTGTAGGCCTTAGACATGTGAGGGGCTAAAACACAAGGTTTAATTTCACAAAACTAATTTATGAAATTTGAATTTTTTGGAAATTGAATTGTTTTGGAAAACTAACAAACTTGGAAGCAAAAGACATTAGACAGAAAACTGATAAGATAAATGTTTAGATTTCAGGGACTTATTTTGGATGGAACCCGCAGATCCACAGTGTGTGTGGTCTAGAGATGACCTGAGATGTCTCATTACTTAGCCATTTCTAATTATGGTTCTGCTTTACCACTCAAGGAACAATTACTTAAAGCTTATGTGGAGACACACCCTATATTCATTAATATCTGTTAATAAGGAATAGGTGGCCAGCTATCAAAACAATTTTGTCTAGGAACTGCTTTGAAACAGTTTCACTTTATGTTGAACTATATTTGCTTCTCACATGTTGCTCTTAATTTTCTTCTGGGTCAGGTTTATTTCCCCACAGTGAGTAGACATGTAATTTTTGAGACAGCTTCTTCTTTTCCTAAAAGATTTAAGACATAAATATCACAGAAGACTGGTAAAAATTTTTTTTTTAAAGATTTATTTATTTGTGCATACAGAACTGGGGTACAGGCCAGAGGCTCAGGGGCAGCGAGAGGCTTCACTAGAGACAGAGTGGGGAGCAGAACAGGCAGATCGACGAAGTACACTCTGAGGGGAGCAGTGGGCGCGTCAGGAGAGGTCTGCCACGGCATGTGGTCACCTCCGGGGCAGGCGGAAATCGAACTCATGTGAAAGTGGCTTTAGTTTCTCAGTGCTGTGCTTTAACCCGCTGTGCCACCAGGGAGGGCCCAGACTGGTAAATTTAATTCTTATTTTTTTAGGGTATATAAAGTAAAACTCTATGTACTGAAATGATCTATAATAAGAGTATGCTAGTTCTTTTCTGTGAAATATACCCAATCATTATATTTATATATGCAAAATTTTTATATCTAGATCGCTTAAAGCATTTTGTATACTACCTTTTTCAATAGAAAGATTTTTCTTATTTGTAGTTTTTACCAATGATTATTTTCTCCTTCAATAATTATATTTACTTTTAATTTTTCAATTATAATTATGACTACGTATTTTCTTGGCTACTAATAAGATCTCTGGAAAGTTTGTAAGAATTTTGAGAAGTTTGAATTAAAGGTTAGCCATAGTCCTTTAAATAAATTATAATTTAAGTCAGGATTTCCTAGCCAGTAAAGATAGACATGGATTATCAATTGTAAGGGAATTATATAGGTAAGTATTTTACACTCATATTACAAACAAAAAGTTTTTAGAAGAATGCCATTTAAATACTGATATAAATGATATATGAAAATTCTGCTTGTTATCTTTACCAGTATATGTATATAAATTTACCATCAAGAATGAAAAGAAATTTTATGAAATTTCCAGGTCCATTCCTATATTTTCCTTTTTGACTGTTTGGTGTTTTACTTTGTTTTTAAAAAATTGTACTTATAAAAGAACATGCTATCCTAAAGCAAAATGGCTAGATGTTAGTTGCTTATAGTTATTCTACCTGATGGAAATGATATAGATATGTGAAATTTGGAATGTGACTATTAAAGACAAATAAATTACTTTTTAAAGGACCCAACTACTTTATAAACAAAAATTTAAATCCTACCACGTAAGTCTTTTAAAGTTAATAGGTGTTTGAAATTGCTTGCATCTTAGCTTACTTAGATTTTTGTGATTTAGTGTGTACTTCACTTAAAACCATAATTTATACCATGTAGTTTATTAGATTGTTTTGATGACTTTGAAAGAACTTGGATTTACTTTGAAGTACAATTGTTCTGGAAATTAATTTGATTTTGAACCTGTTCTAATAATGTTCTTAATACTAAAGAAGTCCTAATATCTGGCAGCTTTTAGTGGATTCTGTCCCTATAGTTGTATGAGACATTCATCTAAAGTTGTAAACTGTATTTTAAAAACTATAAAGCTATAATTTTAAAACGATACTTTTTTTTATTATTTAGAAAAGTGAAGAAAGGCTCACTATTAATAGATTCCAGTACTATTGATCCTTCAGTTTCTAAAGAATTGTCCAAAGAAGTTGAAAAAATGGGAGCAGTTTTTATGGATGCCCCGGTTTCTGGTGGTGAGTGCTAGCTGCAATACATAACTATTTCTGTTTGTCAAAAGTAGCAGTTATGATTTTTTTGGTACTCAAAATATATCTCGTTTCTTTTAAAGACTTATTAAGGATCTGTAGTTCTTCATTAAAAACAACAATAAAACTTAAGTGTTATTTAGTATATTCAAAGTACATTGCATCTTCAAAATTCAGATAAAAGGATGTCACAACTTTGAAGAGTTGTGAATTTTTGATCTAAATTATTGTGGCTAGTGATAGATCAGTTCCTGTAAGATTAATTCTGATATTTAATACCAGACGGAGCCATTAAGAGAGGGAAACACTTATAAGTCTACATGAGCTGTGAATATACAACAGAAGTATATACTTAAAAGTATATAACCACCTAAATATAACCATATAACCATGTGTATATAAAAGAGATTAGACACTACAACCAAGTTTGTTTTTTGTCATATTTACATAGGTGACTTAATACTAGAAAACTTGTAAATATATTTTACCGCATTAACATACTTAATAATCACATGGTTACCTTGAAAGAGAGCCAGGAGATTCACTAATTAAATTCCAATAGCTTGGGTCTCTGAGTATTTTGCAATGGCAGAATTATCATTTATTTGTAGCTTTCTAAATTTTCCAAAATTACTGTGTAATCAAATACCTGGTCTGTATCTATCTATACCTAACTAATTAGAGAGGTAACAGTGGAATAGCATTTTTATTCCCATTTTATTACACTTGATTGTGGACTTTGGAATTAAATAACACAGTAAAATAATTTAAATCAGCTTCTGTTTTTTCTTAAAGAAGTTAATGTTTTCTGTAAAGGTGTCCTCTATCTCAAACCATTTTTGAATGAAGGTGGGAGTGTACATAATTGTTAACCCCTCTAATTCTTGTGTTATATTGGTTAAGTAGGATTTAGGTGTAAAGATTTACAATGTGATATACACACTTTGATCATAAAGTACTAATAAGCAATTTTAAATTTGGTGTTGATGTGGTTTTTTATTAGAAAGGAATTAATAAACTAAACATGTTTGAGTGGTTCTATAGTTGAATTTAAAAATTGATATGGTGTATGTGATCTTACCGTTGGTTGACCTTGTTTTGCTCTAAGAGTGTAGTCCAATTTTATTTTTAATGTTATTTTGACTTTTTAAATAGTCTTGTGAGAAAACTGAAATTCCTTTTGTTCTTACTGTTATTTTTAAACCTTATTTTGCAGTTTTAAGGTGCTTAAAATGTTAACATTATAACAATACATCTGAAACAACTATATTATGAACTGAAACTTTGTGTAGAATTTTTATGATCATATATTGGTTGACCTGATCATGATTACTATGACATCATCATGGTTATTATGAGGTTGACCAATCTATTAATAGAAGCATATATTTGTCTTTTCATAATTATTATTTTTCTATTTTTTATTGTAGTGAGTTGAAAGTAGCTCCATTTTTTTTTTCCAAGTTAAAATAAAGTAGAAGAAATTTCCTGTAAGGTAAATAGGCTTATTTAAACATCATTAACTGGGAGCTGGGATAATAATTGATGACTTTCCGGTCAGTTTCCAGCTGAACTAGAGAAACATGGTTATAAGATGGAGACTACATCCAGAAGAATTGTTGAAACAACCTAAACTTACTAAATTCTAGAACAGAGACAGATGACAGAGTTCCCAGGATGGAATACTTAAAAAAATATATATTTATTTTATTACTTGCTTAGATTTTTGTTTTTGTAACATATAAAATGTTTCATCCAAAAAATTTATATTTTAAGGTTTAAAACATAAAGATTTAACAATTAAAGGAAACTGTGAAAAGGATGACTTACTCAAGATAGGTCCTCAATTTAATAGAGGTGTTCTATATCATCAATCTTAAAATGTAAAATATTTTAGATAATTTGCATAAAATCTTAAAAAAATTTTCCCCCATCTTCTTTTTCTCCCCACCCTTTATCTATTCCTCTTCCCAGACTTAACATGTATTTACTTGTATTCATGTAGAGAATTACAGTAGTATTCTAAAAATATAGGAGGGAATGTATTATACTTACTGTGTGGTTTGTATTCTTAACCCAATAAATAAAAAAATTGTATAGATTTTTGAGCACATGATTGATTTCATCAGTCTAGTGTTTACTTTTTGTTAACTGTTATTTTGTGGAATAATAATGAAAAGCATCATTATTGTATCATTCTAACAACCCAGGGAATAGCAGACTGAAGGTTTTCTCCAGGTTTCATTTTGGTATTTACTAAACCCACCTTAGAGCAGCTCTTTATGTCATCCTTATGACAAATGATACTATTTTAAGGTTCTAAGTGACTTTTAAAAAATATTAACAAGACATATTACTAATCTGTTGTTATTATCCTGAAACAGTGTAAATAACTATTTTATACTTACATGGGTATCACTTCATACCATACATATTATATACTATATAGTTTATTTTGGTTTTAGTGGATATAGTGCTTCTTTACGAAGCTGTCAAACTGAACATGCTTTTAGCAAGTCCCACTTACTAAAAAAAGTCCCATTTACAGGCTCTACTAATTCTCTTCTTCCAAACATTTTGAGCACACGGAATAGGTCTTTATTTTCTCTTCAGTTTTTTTTTTTAACTAAATACTGAATATATGGAAAATATAAAATATGTAGAAGTAGGAAGTATATGTTGTACCCCTCCCAGTTTACTAGAGCCTTACTGTTACCTTTTATGTTCTTGTTTGTATCTATTTTATTTTCTCCTATATTAAAGGGAACCAGAATCTGACATTTAGCATCTCACTTCCATGCTTTCTTTTATAGTTTGATTCTATGTATATGTATACTTTTATCTTTAACAGTAGTTTATGTTCGATGATTTGGAATATTATAGAAGTAGAGTCATAGTGTATTTTATGAGTTTACCACAATGTGAAGTTTTCCACTTCATGTTATATCCCAAATTTCATGCATGGTGTATGGAAAGCCACAGAATAGCACAGTATTTCTGAGAGAATTTGAAAGAGACACTTCAGTTTCTCTGCACTGAAACATTCCTCAGATGAAAAGAGGGTACATTTACACAAAGGAAAAGGTACTCCTGTCTCAGTGCAGAGGTAGCCCAGTCTCAGGTTTGTGGTTTAGCAAATGATGGTTGAAGACTGTGCACAGTTCATAAACAGTATTACCATCATATGGTTGTTACACATAATTCATTAATTCTAAATTTCTGAGGTGTTCACCTATAAAACAGAACATGCTTTGTCTTTTTTCCCCTATATTGTTCATTTTGATCATTTCCAGTTTTTTTATTTGATTATTTTAGTTTTTTTTTGTATTTATTTATGCATACAAGAACTGGGGTATAGGCCAGAGGTGCAAGGGGTGAGAGGATTCACCAGAGTGGGGAGCAGAACAGGTGGACCTATTGAAATACACTGCTGAGGGGAGCAGCTGGGCACTATAGGAGAGGTATCCCTTGGGTTAGCTCCCCTGGCCAGCGATGTGTTGCAATGGCTAATGATAGCTTGATAGTGCTTCAGACTTTAACTCCTTTGCCACCAGGGTGGCCCCATGGAAGTGCAACTGGTTGGTCTCTTTTTTCTTAGCACAATGTCTGGTACATAACTGATTTTCAGTAAATGTTTAAAAACTTGGACTGAGTTCAGATAGAAAAACAACCATGTTAGATAAAGAGGAGTAGTCAATCCCATTTTACCAAGGAAGGAAATAACATTGGGGATATTAAGTAACTTATCTCAATAACATACTGTTGGACAGTTGACAAAATTGAAGATTAGTTATGGCATTCTTTGTCTTATATTCTACTATGTTATTTGGAAACACTATTTTCTATCAAGTTCTAATTTATTCCAAGAGGAAGTTAAAGAGTGACAAATGAAAGATTATCCTTTAATTTATAAAATTATTTTCATTGCTAAAAATAACTGACAGCTTGGGTCCTTTGTGGTGGTGCAGTGGGTTAAAGTGCAGCACTATGAAGCTAGCTGCAGCCTCTTCAGCATAAGCTTCATCCCTGGTCAGGGAGGTGGTCCACATATTGTGGCAGACTTCTCCTGTCTCACATGTTGCTCCCGTCAACAGTGTACTTCATCAGTTTGCCTGTTCTGGTCCCCACTCTGTCTCTGGTGAGTCCTGTTACCCTGCTGCACTTCCGGCCTGTACCACAGTTCTGTATGCATAAATTAATAAATCTTTAAAAAATAAGGATAACTGACAGTCAACTTGGTATACTGTTACAGTAATGGCCAGTAATGATTCACATCTCTTTTATCCATACTATTTCCACCACCTATATTCACTCTGGGCCTAGGTACCTGTCTAGATTTGGCTAGTAGCATGTTAGCAAATATTACACATGGAGAGACTTCAGAAGCACTTGTACATTTGAGCCCTGTCCTCTTTTGCTGATGGAAATTCTCCCACTGCTGCTGAAGAAGCTTGGACTAACCTGCAGGCTATGTGTACCAAACACCAAGTCAGTGTGAGTGAGGCCAGTCAGCCCCATTCAAGCTCTTAGATGACTGCAGCCTCATTAATGACCTCAGGTTTGACTGGCAAATGAACTGCCCAGGTAGGCCTCATCTCAGTTGCTCACTTAGAATTGTGAACAAATAAAGTCATAGGTTTTGGGCTGATGTAACAACTGGTTACTGATGGAGCCACTGTAGTTTCCAGTATTATTTAGAAGTGTTTGTTATGTATTTTATCAATTCATTTGCAATCCATGATTGCTTAGTATGTTTATACAACCTTTCTGAAGGAGCATTAATGTAATATAGTTAGCATAAAGGCCAACTTTAATGTCAAAACTTAGTTGCTGAAATGAAATTTTATTCTTAAGCCACTTTAGGAGAATTATGTCTGATGTAAGCAGTTCCCTGGCTTGTTCATTCTCTGTAACGGAGAATGTTTCACTAAATTTTACCTAAGCAAATTAATTTCCCTGTTGAGCTCTTTAGTGAGATATGGAAAAGT